GTTTGGTACTCCACCCCCCAAAATGAATGAATGTAGGTATGCTTGAGAATTAACAGTACACCCACCCACTGGAAGCAGTAGAGGTTGAGATGAAGGTGAACTAGGGATGAAAAGACCAGGTTATCTGTGAAGATTAAAGGTGGAGCCTAACTTGAAATTGTACATTCCCAATGAAGCTGGAGAAACTATTTTGAGTAAATAATGGGTGTAGCCTGACTGGGGTGGGAGGGTGGGGCAGGGACAGTGGTAGAAACAGGGCTCCAGAGTCAGTTCCATTGGCTCCAGGGTTATAGGCAACTCCATCTGTACATGTTGAGAGGACAAATGATATCCATTAGCACAATTCTGGGAGACAGATGGTTCTAATAGACAGCTAGGGGAGCTAGTGTCCTCTAAGTTCAAGCCTACCCTTAAAAACTTAATTTGAATCAGTCTATTTGTTTGGCTTATTATGATGTTGATAGAGTAATGAACACCACACACATATGTGTATGGGTGCCTGTGGAGGACATAAGAGGGTGTTCGATCTCCTGGAACTAGTATTACAGGTGGTTATGAGCCACCAGATGTGGGTACTGGGAAATGAACTCAGGTCCTCTGCAAGGGCAGAAACTGCTCTTAATTCGAAGCCATCTCTCCATCCTCTACCCATTCAGTTATAGGTATTTAACCCAGCTTTGCATGAATTTAGCACAGCTGGGTTAAATGCTTTCTTACAGTTTCAGTCATTGTTATAGACACTGTTTGTGTCCTTTCCACATTTCCTTCTTTTAAATTCAGCTCAGGCCAAAATCTCCAAATCCCACCACTCTGACTATCTTTGTTCTGACAGTTTTCTAACCACTGAAGCCTGTTTTGCCTGAAGTACAGAACAGTTATGAAATAAGGGAATTAATATTCCCTCCACCATGACTAGTAGGAGTTTATAAATACATTCTCCTGACTCCTTTCCCATTTAGTGGAATAACAGGATTGTGTTTTCTCACTTTTCTGCAGTGTTTATTGAGATTAAGTATTTGGGGCTTTGCCTTCCTTTCTTATCTGTTGCTATGGGCCTTATTATGATCCCTAAAGAAAACATGTTGAAATTCTAAGCCACAGTAACTCAGAATATAATATTACTTGGAATTAAAGTCTTTGTAGACTAATCAAGTTAAAATGAGATTACTAGAGTGTGTCCTACTCCATTATATGTATAAAAAGGGGACATTTAGCCACAGAGGCAACATATACAAGGAGAAGATGCTGTGCCTGTTCACAGCAAGAGTATCTTGTAAAGGCAGATGGTTGGAGAGATGCATCTACAGGTCAAGGGTCAGGCGAGAGTAACAGAAGCTAGAAAAGTGATATGGAACAGTCCTCTTTCTAGTACCCTCACAGGAGCAAGGTGCTGGTGATGCCTTCATTTCTGACTTCTGGCTTCCAACACTGGGAAACAATGGATTTCTATTGCTTTTGGTCACTCAGTCTTTGGTATGTTTCAAAGTAACCCTGAAAAAATATTTATATGCTTTTTCATTCTTCTTTTTTTTTTTTCTTTTGGTGACAGGAAGTCACTCTGTAGTCCAAGTTGGCCTAGAACTTGCAGTCTTTCTAACTCTGCCTTCATAATACTGGAATTGCAAACGTGCACCACCACCACCAGCTCTACTGAACTTATTTCTCAGATTCAACTAAATAATAAAATAAATATTTCCAATGAAAATTTGACATCCATTTTAAAAAATAATGAATACCCTGCCCACTTTCCTTCCTTCTTTCTTTCCTTCCTTCCTTCTTTCCTTCCTTCCTTCTCTCTCTCCTTCCCTCCCTCCCTCCCTCCCTCCTGCCATTTTTATCCTTTGACTATCTAGTTAGATATTCTCAATGACTTTGGAAAAAAGGGAGGTGAAAAAAGAAGGAAATAATTTTAAAAAAAATTAGGTGAAGGCTTAATATGTAAGTGGTCACATGGAAACAGATACATGAAAACCCAATCTAGCCTAAACAAGGAGACTGATATATATGGAAAAGGCTAAGCTATTGTTGTGCCACAAGCTCAGAATTGCCTCATTGCTCTTGGTACCCTTTTAATAAAATAAATATAAGACATGGAGAGAACCAAGTCCAATAAAATGTTTTGGATGTTTCCAAAGTGCTTGGAGAGCATCAGTTTAAGGACTATTTATTGTGGGATACTGTTCCATTGCAATAAGTTATTGAGAGATTTAAAGTGCCAACATTAAATCACTGCTCCTGCTCTGAATAAAGGTCATGTACAAGTTAGCTCAACAGTGATTGCTGATGTCGTTACAGAATAACTGTATTTATGCACATTTCAATGAATACATTTATAGAATGCAATTGTTTCTATCTTTTAAAACAATTAAGACTCCCTCTAGGGGAAAAACGAAGATGCCATTGTATTGTAAATCTCTTCTGAAATTTGTGGTGATACATTTAAAATATTAAAGGAAAAAAATAAATCTGAAGGAGAAAATGAAATCTTTAACTTCATGAACATATACATTGAGCCACTTTGGCAACGCCTCCTATTCTGCAATTTACTGTTCTCTCTGAGACGCTGAAAATTTAGAGGAACATTAGAGGCATGCCTAGGAGCAAAGCCTTCCTCCACTAATTAGGCTACACCCAGATGTGAGCTTTGAGAAGAATAAAAAAGTGAGGAGCAGGTCAGAGTTGGGAAGCTAAAACTGCAGGGCAGCTGGGTTAGTGATCCCACAAAGACAAAACGCAGCAGACTCTCATGGATCATAAAAGAAGCTGCCAACACATACTTTATTTATTATTGCCTTAAAGTTTATTTTGCAGTGTCTGGCATGAAACTCAAGGCCTTGCACATACTAAACAAGTGTTTTACCACTAAACTACATCTCCCCAGGCCATATATTAAACGCTACACTTTCTAAATGTATGCACATCATTCATTTAGTAACAATGAGCAATAATCAATGTCAATAAGCTGTAAAACTAAAAATTTCTTGTGACACTTTTAAAGATTTCTGTGAGCTGCGATTTCCCCAGTTAAGCCTCGCATTTAATCATTTTAACATAAAATTTAACACCACTTGTAGCTCGGAAGGAACAGCTTTTCTTAGATTTTGTACATGATACCATTAAAATGTTCATAAAGATATACCACAGGTATTCCAGAGTTCTTTGTGAGCTGTTTTCAGCAGTAAGAACCAAACCACAGCATGTTAATTATGGGAGAAAGTGATTAAAAAGGAAGGTCAAGTATTTGATTATAGAAAATGTTCTCATGTTCAGAATAATTCCATACCTCCTCAGATCAATATTTTAAACATACTCATCATGTACTTAGTGAAAAAAAAATTAATTTTTAACATCTGTGTCTCAGAAGATGTTGGTTGCATAATGTATATTGGAACAAAGAAGAAAATTTTATCATTCAATAAACAATCATTTACTGACTAATAGGTTTTAGGAATTGTGCCAAGGGGATTTGGGATTCAAAGTAAACAAGATTTAGATATCCTGTACTTTGAATAATTTTTGATCACACATAATTTTAAAATGAATTAGTACATAGTCATAGATTTGAGAGTTGGTGTTATTCTATCCCAATAGGGAGAAGAATCACTATGACCTCCGCTGCTTAGGAGGAGATATAAGTAACAATCAAATATTAAGAGGAACCTAAAAAGGGGAGGGGGTTGAATACATACATGAACACATAAGGAATTTGAGGGAGAGTTAGAAACATCAGAAATTTGAGATCTGTAAAAGTACATGCTCTTCACTGTTAACAAGCAGCCCTACTTAAATATTGGTATCTATTGAAAGATTACAGAAAATAAGGTACAACATAGGTGGGGCAGAATTAGAAGGCCTTGAAGACCAGAGCACAGAGTCACTGCGCAAGACTGGGGGAAATGGGCTCCAGCTGTTTTACTGTGATGCAGTCACACGTTCAGTCTAGAGCTGGAGTGTAAGTTGTAGTGAATGGTTGATGTCTTGATCATTAACTACCAAGAGCTTACCAAGGCCAGGAAAGCATTGTGAGAAACAGACTTGAGAACATAAAAAATTTGGCAAGACCAATTCTACTCAGTATTTTTGTTAATCCAGAAAAGCTGCGAATCTGAATTTTCTATTTGATAAGTATGAACTTATTCAAAAGGAACATTTTACTGATTGATTTTATTCACTGATTGCTGAATTCAGTTCACTGGCTGCCAGTATTCAACAGGATCACCACCAATAAATACCAGAGTGATTTGGAGATAAATTAATATGGCTTTGAATTGGATAGTGACATTATTATGTTTAATCATATTTCCCTACTGCTTAATCAAACATTAATCATAAATTAGTTTTTAATACATTGTATATAACTACCCTAAGCCAATATGATTTAGAAATGTTTTAGTATACACAGTAGAAGCATGTCACACTTGCATCAAATTATGAAATTTATACTTTGTATAAAAAAGAAACTAATAGAATCATGCCATAGTTATGCATCATGTATATACTTCATACCTGTCCCCAGTGATATGCATAAATTTAAAATTAGAACTAATAAGTTAAAATATTAGTTTTAGATGATGAGCCAGTTCTGAATGAAGATGCTTTTTATCATCATGATGACCATATTTACCATATTAAAATGCTTGATTAAATTATTAACTCCATTTTAATCCTTTTTCTCCTACAGCCAGTTTTAATAATACAGATATCTCACTTCATATTTTATAGATAAAGAGGTCAGGTGGTACAAATTAAATATTTCTGACCAAAAGGAGTGGTTTCAATGTATTGTATGAAGCAAAACTGTTCCTGAAACTCTGTTTCTCATGTTTGTGCTGTTTGTTTTACACAATCTGTTTACAAGATTAGAGACAGCTTTTGTAAGACACAAGACACAGAAAACTCCTCTGAATGGGTCCATAGTTCTGCTGTCAATCATCCAAGAGGCCTTTTGGGGGAAAACAGGACTTAGAAAAGGAGACCAAAGCAGGAAGGAGAGGAAATACCAGTTTCCTTCTGGGCCTCCCTCTTCGCTGCCTGGATTTCTGGGAGCACAGACACATCTGAAAATGCTCCTGCAAGGCAAGGGAGAAACAAGACAGACTCAGTCAGCTGGAGATAAGCAGAGACTCTGGCAAGCAGCCAAACCCTAGGCGCTTCCAAAATAAAGATGGCAGAAACTGTTCCGTAAACTAGGCAATCAAGATGCTTGTCACTTCCTCTGTATTTCCCACCTGCATTCCCTGAGTCTTTGGAGACTTTTACTGAAATAATTAATATAAGGGTTGACTCTGAAAAGATCAGTTCAATAGTCTGTCTTTTCAAAGTCTCTCTGAGGCCAGTCTGAGGGTTTCAATAGTGAGTAGTGAGAAATTACGAAAGAGAAAGTCATTCCTGAGGATAAAAGCCAAGTTCAGGAAGTAATGCTGTGCAGTCTCTTCTCCGTATAAATTTTCTAATAATTGTATTTTATTTTTAAAATTTTTTTGAGCCCTCAATAAAATGACTTTCACACACAAAAAAAAATTTTTTTTTTTCTTTGAGACAGGTTCTCACTCTGAAACCCAAGCTAGCCTGGAACTCACTGTGCAGCCCAGGCTGGCCTTGAATTTCTGAAAATCCTCCAGCTTCGGCCTCTTGACTGCTAGGATTATAGGTGTGAACCACCATGTGCCACTTGATTTTTTTGTTTTTGTTTTGTTGTTGTTGTTTTTAACAGAGGTAGTATCTTCTCTATAAAGTTCATGTGATCTATTTACTTCTTCTTAAGTTTCTAATTTCCTGTTTGCTTAACTTATAAGCAAATCCAGCTCATTCTACAAATGTAGATATGCTAAGTAAATATTAAAATTTGGAACTGAACAGTCTAATTCAACTTCTCCCTGAAATGCATTTTTGTTTATTTATTATTTATTTACTTATTTATTTGTCTTTTCTAGACAGGGTCTCCCTGTAGCCCTGGCTGACTTGGAACTTGCTATAGAGACCAGGCTGGCCTCTGTCTCCCAAGTACAAGGATTAAACGTGTGCACCACCACTCCCAGCTTTATGATTCTATATTCGTGACAGAGCACAAATGTGAGAACTCATAAGGCTAGCATGGTGGAATTAGGCTTACAGATAAAACAGTCATCATTGATTTCTCAAAGTCAAAATTTGTAAAGAAAAAAATCACTTTCTTGTTCAAAACAGAAAAATCATGAAGCTCTTTTAATTATACATGCTAATGTATAACATGTGATTTTATATTACTTTCAATAATCTCTCTGGGCTGTTTTCAAAACCACACATTATGTAACTTTAGACATGATAAGTGTTAGTTCTGAGTTGCCTTGACTTAATCTTTATAAAGGATTCTTCTTCATGAGGAATTTGTCTTGAGAATTTAATACATAAGGAATATCCAAAAGTGTGCCTTGTGTGTAACAGATTATCATTAAACTAAGCCAGTTTTTTTATTGAAAAACATAATGATATAAAATTACTTAGCATTCACATGGACTATAATCCTAAAACCACTATGAATTATTTAATTCTAAATGCCCCTCTATTACTTTTCAAAGAAAATTAACTTGGGTAGCTGGATTTAATACTCAATGAAACAGTTTCATCAGTCACTATTGCTTGATTACATTTACAGGATATACTGAACGTATTCATGCCACATACATTAACCACTGTCTAATCTGATGTTCCACTCCTAGCTTTTGTAGGTCTGAATTCATTTCCTGATTCAAGAAAGGGAGGGGGATGAGAGAAGGCAGTGGGGCTAGAAAATGACCAGAGATCCGCTAAATGTATGTATGAAATTGCCAATGAATAAAAAATAAATAAATAAATAAATAAAAACCTTAAGTTAAAGCAAATTATCTAAATAATTTTTTAAATTTCCTTTTATTTTATGTGTATGAGTGTTATGCCCACATATATGTAAGTGGACCCATGTCATGCAGTGATGCAGTGCCTACACACACACACACACACACACACACACACATACACACACACACACACACGCACACACACACACAAATAAATAAGTGTGAAACAAAAACAGAAAAAATTTTAAAAAAGCAATATTGATTCTGTTTTCTCTTTCTCCATCTCTCCTTCCATCCTTCCTCTCTTTCTTCCTTCATTAACAGGGTCTCACTATGTAGCCCAGGTTGGCTTGAACTTTTGCCGTCTATCCTCCTCCTGCCTCACTTCCCACGTCCTGGGATTATAAATGACAGCCACCATGCCGCACCTCTGTATTTGTTTGTATGTTTTCTTTTAGGTTAGGAGGTGAAAGAACATGGTAAGAAACAAAATTAGTGATGCAGACAGGCCATCTAGATTTTCAGACTGAAGGCAACCATAACACAAATGTCAGCGTGAACTACAGTACAAATGTCAGTATGAACCGCAGTACAAAGATGATGGCATGAACCATGAAGCAGAAAGAGACACAGCAGAAAGAGACTCTGCTCAAGCTGAACAACAAAGTGACTGGGGGACATTTTCTAAACAGTAGGCAGACCAATGCTAAGGCTGGTTATACCTCCGAGCACATTTAGAAAGAAACTTATAGTAAGTACCTGCCTCACCTGAAGTGTTTCCTTTAATAAGCTGTCAGATTAAGCACACAAAGAACTTTTCCTGTCTCTTCCCACAGCAAGTCATTATAAATATTTTGTGTAAATTTGACCCTCTGATACAAGAGTACTTTTGGTGTAACTGCATTACAATCTCACTCTGAAACAAATTTCCCAGACTGGGGAGATGACTCAGCAGTAAAGTGCTTGCTGCACAAACATGGGGACCTAGTTTCATCTCCAGAATTTATGTAAATCCAGGTAAGATGGGAGGCAGAGACAGGAGGCTTCCCAGAAGTTCACAGGCAGCTAGCCTAGTTAACCAGCATTGTACAACAAAGACACCAGGTCTCAAAAAGCTTGAAGGGAAGGACAGACACCAGACTTCCACATATGGTGGGTCACATGCATGCCCACTTCTTCCCCCAACACATAAATGCATTGAATGCATTGAATGGGGCATCTCTATCACCCTCTCCAAGACTCAGGGAATTTAGTAAGAGAGAAGGAGGAAAGACTGTAAGTGGAGAAGGGGGTAAACTTATAGAAGGAATTTTGTCCTCCAGGTATGATATGATGTCTGCCTCAGTAGCTATGGTTAACTGAATAAGATCTGCACAAGACTGGGCTTATTACTCATTAACTTTCCATCACAGAGGAGGTAAGAGGCCCACCCCATCTCCAAGGATTTACGGACAGTTACTGAGTACCAAGACAGAGGGCTCATGAAAGCCTGTAGTTAATGGCTGTTAGGAAGAGGAGTTCATAAGACCACGCCCTTCCCCAACCCAAGGCTATATGAACATTTAAGTAAGAGTTGCTAGGAGAGAGATTTTTTTCCTTGAGGGATATTTCTTTGTCTCTCTCTCTCTCTCTCTCTCTCTCTCTCTCTCTCCTTTTAAGAAAAAGGAGTAAGAGAATGTTCATTTAATTTGAAATCATATCTGATAGTGTCTTATATGATTTCAAGAATGAAATTTCAGAAAATGGCCAGTGCAGGGTTGCAGTTCAGTTACTTTTATTAATGATGTCAATATCTATGCAAATATGCACCTCCAAGGTAACTAAACATTAATTAGAAGCTCTTTAGAGAAGTACATTTACTTTGGAAGTTACATGTAAGTATGACACTGACCTTTTGGGGCACGCTGTGGCCTCTAATTTTTTTGTCATGACTTTTTTTTTTTTTTTTTTTCTTCTCTTAATGACTTTCCGTTGGTGAGAAGCACTTTGACCTTTTTTCTTTTTGATAAGAATTTAGGTTAAGACTCTCTTTCTGGTAGATCCATAGTCATTTTTGATGCAGAATTAAAATATTTGAGATATGGGAATTCAATGCAATGTTCTCTATCTTAGCAACAATTAGCTTTTCATTCTGGGATATTTATTATGTCTCATGAAATTTTAGCTAAGCATTATATAGCATGGGAAATACATACAATTACTCATTTCTTTATACCTTTCTTGTATCTTCCACTAATATGTGAGCATCACTTAAAAAAATCCTCTATGATCACCTAACAACACTTTGACTAGCTATACACACACTAGATTTAATAAGCAACTCAATGAGCACTAAATTATGTAATACTTTACATACTTATCCATTTGTTGGTAAATTAAATCACAAGAGCAGAGTAGATTAAAATGATTATATGTTTCAATAAACTTTTTATTTAGACAATATAAACCTGGAATCTTACCATTGCTGGGGTCAGTGTTTGTTTCTGTTTTATAGCAGACACCAAGTTTTAATGAGTCTTCACACACCATGACTTGGGTTCCACACTACAAGAAGTGATCTCAGGCTTGTTCTCAAAGGTCCACGGCCTAATGTCTTAAGATACTGCTTCCAAAATCACAGCAAGACACCTCCTCATCCTTCTTTTCTCACTCTTGAACTTGTTATAAGGATCTTGCCTTGGACAAAGAAATTCCAATCTCCAAGGCCAAGTTACAAACTGCTGCCATTCTTCCTATTCTCCAATACAAAAGAAGCCAAACCAATTTCTGGCCTTTGTAAAAGTGAGATACTAGACGGAAAGGGTCTGAAGGAAGGGACTTTGAGAGGAAGTGTTGAAATGGCTTTGTGAAGACTATCTTCAAACTGTTTGTAACAGGAGTGTGCCCAGTAACTTCAGCCACAAACCTACCGACTGATCAGTGTCTTATATCAACAGTAGATTGGTTCAGATAATATAGTAGACACCAGTAATCCCAGCATTTGGGAGGCTAAGGACAGAGGACAGAGTGTTCAAAGCCAGCCTGGGCTACATAATTAGATCCTGTCTCATTAAAAGTATTTTATTTATTATTTTTATTTTGTGTGTATGAGTATATTGTCTGCATGTAAGTAGGTGCACCCATATCATGCAATGCCTTCAGAGGTCAGAAGAGGGCATTGGATCCCCTGAAACTGGAGTTATGGATGGTTGTTACCTGCCATGTGGGTGCTGGGAATCGAACCTACGTCCTCTGCAAGAGCAGCCAGTGCTCTT